AGTCCACCTGTGTCTGCGTCCTTGGCCCTGCTCGGGGGTCCAGCTGTAAGGTAACGAGCCTGTCCAGACGCGGTAACGTCAAAAGGGCGTCAAGGGCAAAACAGTAATTTGTGTTTTTTCGCCAAAAAACTGAATTGAGATTTGAGCGTCAATGCGACCTCACCGCAGCTCGTGTGGCGTGATTGTGACCGACGGCGTGAGAAAAAGGGTAAGAGTAATTGTGCCGAACCGTTAATTACGTATTCAAATCAATAACTTTATTGCGGACGCCAGGAGGATTGCGGCTGCGGCGGCGTTGGCGTGCTGCTGCTCCGGCGCGAGGCGCGCGGCCCGCGACGTGGTCTCCAGTCACTCGGCGGTGATCCAGTTGATCTCCAGGCTGGACGCGCCCGCCTGCTTGCTGGCCAGGTAGACGCCGCCGTACATCTGCAGCTCGACGCTCGTCACGTGGCTCGTGTCCAGCGGGTTGGCCTTTATCTGCTGGCCGCGGTAGTACGGCAGGAAGTCCTTCAGCGGCAGCTCCACGGTGGCGAACTCGCCGTCGCCGGGCGCCTGCGGCGGAGGGAACGCAACGATCACACAAACTGGAGCACCACCGCCCGCCGTCTCTCAAAAGACATATTCAAAGAGCGGGCAGCGCATTGTCGCGGCAGGACGACATCAATAACGTGTCAATCAGCTGGCCAGGAATGACATAACAGTGACGAAAGAAATGCCCCAACCCCGCACCGCGGGGGAGGCCAGGCTCGCGGAGAAATGCGCAATTTTGAAGGTGGCGCCGCCACAACGCACACCGTGGCCACGCTGATGGCGCCTGCAGCGCGTTGGGTAGGCCAGCCCGCCGCACAGCTGTGTGGAGACGGCGGCCCGCCTCGAGCGCCCGACTGAGCGCAGGGACTTCGGGCGTTCGGACGTTCGACCCGATCGCCCGTTCGGCCACCACCCCCAAACTCCCTTCGCGGCACATCGCCCAGAAAGTACGCCCGCTTTTATCTCGGATTCATAAATACGGCTAACTAGCTCTGCGGGAGCTCAGCGCCTGCGAGACACTGGGTAGGCCACCCCGCGGTGCACGCATGCCCTGCAGACAAGATGTTGCCTACCTACAGGGCGCTATGAGAGCCCGCAGCGGCCGGCTGAACTTGGCACTTACGTAACGGCGAGTGACGGACCTACTTTCTGGATGATCCCAAACGACGCTCGTGGTAGTGAGGGCACCACAAAAACGACATCGCTTCGACGTCGTTTAAGGTTGAACTTCACATTACCGGCACCTTGCCGAGGAGGTGAGAAAGGCGGCACTACTCACCGTGAACATCTGCTCGTAGGTGGGGTTGGGCTCGTCGTTGAGGCCGCGGTGCCGGAGCACCACCTTGTAGCCGAGGTTCTGGCCCTGGCCGCGGCACGAGAGCGCGAGCTTGGTGTGCGAGCTCAGGTCGAGCTGGGTGGCGACGCGCATGCCGGCGAACCCGGCGCCGTTGGGCTGCGGGTTGAGCAGCGTGAAGAAGACGGCGCGCTGGAACAGCTGCGTGCGCTGCAGCACCAGGGCCGCCTTGGACATGCCCACCGAGCGCACCACGTCGGACTGCTCCTCCCAGTCCGACACGGAGGCGGCCGCGCCCGTGAAGTCGAACAGCACGCGGCCCTTGGGCGCCGTCATGTTGGCCGACCTGGCGATGACAACACGGATATGTTAATGACCTGGCACCCATAACCCTCTTTTTTTCCTCCTCCGGGCGCCGCCGCCGTCCCCGCGATGACATCTTTCCTCCGACATCGTCGTCCGGGGTGTACCGACCGTTTGACGGCCGCCGTCAGAGGGGTGCAGAGGAGGGTGGCCGCGGCCACCAGGAGGGGGACGGCGTCGGCGCGACGCCCGAGGCGGGCGAGCAGGGCTGTCATGACGGGGCTGAATAACCTGAAGAGCCAAGGTCTAGGCCCGCACTGTCTTGGTCGCGGCGGCTAGTGCTAAGGGCTACTGCTAAACGCCGACTGTACATCACGCGCTGAGGCGGGTAGCGTCAGGGGCGCGCGGAACGGTGTTGGCGACAAGGTAAACAAAGTCCCCCACTCTGCTCCGATCTTTGTCGTCTGCTATCACTTGCCTGAGCGGCTGCTGCTGCTGGCCGCCACTTTTCTCGGGTGGGGTGGTCTTTACAAGAAAGTAGGGCAGGGGCCTTTGCTACAAGGCAGTGAGCTCACACATGTTCATGCTGAGCGGGATTTTTTCAAACGACGTGCAGAGCATGATCGTCCGATCGTCATAAGATTCTCAGTAAAAGAGTATAAAAACTTTATTGTATGCATAATATCACAATTAGAGTAGATAGACGACATAAACTTAATAAGAACCAACACTAAAACCAACAACAATAAATGTATCTTTTCTTTCTTTCAAAATCAGCAGCTCTATGACATAACACTAGATAAAGTCTTCAATTTGACGTCAATAGTATTCTGGTCCAACTGCAACTGAGACACATCAAATTTCTGAAACCTGAAAGAGTGACAAATTATAGTATAGTTTAACAGTAACATAACAATCAAGTCCATGTAGAAAATTTGAACTTACTTAGAGAGAAGCTTGATACTCCCTGTACCATCAGTCCCACTAAATTGCGAAATGAATAAACCAGCTTCCTTACAATTTTTTATTGAGACCATGTTTATTTGTAGTTCTGTGCTTTCATAAGCCTGGGGGTGGCGAATTTTTTTTGAAATAGTGTCTAAAGAAATATGCATGACAGTAAACCTCATCAAGATTTCTTACCTCAATGCCGAAGGAACAGTTTTGAAAGCATGAATTTCTGATGCGCACTCGAGAGCCAGGAAGACAGCAAACAGCAACATGAAGCCCAGAAAAATTACACCCATCCAAAAGGACAGAAGCACCAGAATTAACTACAATGCCTCTGCTACCTTTTGATACTTCACCAGTGACTGTACAGTTGTTCATCTCAACATTAGAATTTTTAAGTATCTGCAGTGCATTTGATACAAGATTTGCATCGAGTTTAAGATTGCAGAATTTAATACTGGCATTCCTTGCACTAAAAAGAAAATTATTGCTCTTTTTGGCCACGATTTCTGCATTTCTGCTGCCACAACCTAAAGAAGAAAAAAATTTAAGACAATTTAAAAATAAAACTCAGTATACTACAAAAAAATGAAGGTATATTTCTTTTAGCTTACCAATAATGGAAATGTTGCATTCTAGGGAAAGGTTGGCGTGGTGAACTCCTTCATTGAGCACAATGGTATTGCCTGACAAGGCTTTTTCGAATGCACATTCTAAAGATGAAGCACACCTGTAAGAAATTTAGAACCCCCGGGGTAAATTTTATCACAATGAGTATATATGAATTTCTAATTAGCTGAAGGTATATTAGATTACACTGTATGAGTATCTGCATCCAGTATGTCCTCACAGATTTTTAGATACTTTCTGAAGCTTTCCACTACTCCACTCTGCCATACAATTATAGCAGTTGAATTTTTTCCTGCAGTTTCTTCCTCTTCCATAAATTTCTTAATGATAAGTTTCCTTTAAGACAAATAATGTTTTCAAAATACACCAGTAATCATCACGCATGAACTAATTCTTTACTTAACCAACCTCATTGAAGGGTTTTCAAAGAGCTGCAGTTCAGTGATCAGAGGGTTCACTTGAAGATGAACTTGCATTAACTCATAGGTCTTCTCAGCCACAGAAGACGTAATGTCCTCTGAATCCAAATCCACTTCCATCTTACGTAAAATTTCTTCAATTTCCTGCTTTTTCTCATAAAGGCTCCTTGCTTGCTCCTTTTTTTGGTGCATTTTATCAGCTATTTTTGGCGGAATAACACCATTGTTCATTTCATAAAACCTAGTTTGTGGAGAAGTCAAAAGAATTAGTAACTCCTTAACGAAAGAATTAGTAACTCCTAAATAAATGACAAGCAATTAAATACAAAACAGAATGTAAACGAACAATTGAAGTCTTGACTCTAAGTACTTGGTAGACCAATCCCCTCCATCTCCATCTTCAACGTCCCATGGACGCCAGAGCTGGTTATAAAAGAATCTGTAAAGAAACCAGGACATTTGTCAAAACTGAGACAATAACACACTGTAGGGAGATAAGTAACGGATAAATACCTGAATCGATCAATGAAATTTGCTGTGTACTCAACATTCAGATGAGGGTCATCCTGATGTTTGGTAGGATATAGTTCAACAAGTGGCACTTCTTGTCGCACTGGAATTGTTATGTCATCTTGAACCTTTTCAACCTCTACGAATGCTGTTAACTCTTCGAAGTTCACATTCACAACCTGAATGATACGAAGACCAACGTTGAAACAAAGCCCAATCGACTTTTTGTGTTTCATAATCCTAATTCTTATTCCTACTTACCTTGACAAACACAAACTTCGGAAACATGATGTTTAGCTCTTCACATATACGACGAGAAATCTTCCAAAGAGCTTGCCATTCAGTCGGCTCAATAAAATTTTCCAAAGTACAGATCCAGGCCTTCACAACATCTGATGCACTGAAAGATACTAGAACATCCCTGAATTCCTCCAATCGTTGCTCTTGAGTTTTGTTGAAATTATAAATCAAATCTGCCATTCTTCTTGTGAATCAAATTCAGATCAAATTCTTGCCTTCAAAACCTTCTCAAGTTCAAAACACTTGTTCTTTCACTGTCAATTTTCAAATTCATTCATCCAATCTAACGGTTCAGGTTAGGCACCTTGAAAACCAAATCATCCCGTTCGCTACCCGTTCTCCGCCTCACCTTTAAGATATACTATGACAACACTTAAAAAAATTACGACTACCTTCCCAAATTTTGACGTGAGTTTTTAATAAAGAAAGTAAAATTACTAAGGTACTCACATAAAGAGAAAGATACAGAACCAGAGTTGGATGTTATGGAGAAGACCTTTGAAATCACTGTGACCAACCGGGAATAGAAACAAAAAATAGATACGATGCCTCTCAGAAAGGTCCCATTATTTGGGGGAGGCAATGGATCGCTGGAATTCTGTTTTCACTGTCACGGCAACAAGTTTTTAAATTGTTTTTGTACATCGTAACTGTTTGGAAAGGTTTGCAATATATATTTTCTCTTGATCAGCCTGATCAGCTGATTTCGCGGGCAGGCGTTTGAATCAGACCAGCGGCGGGAGCAAAAGGATCTTGAGAAAGGATGAATAACGGTGGGTAAAAATACAAAACAAAACCATTTTTAACTCTTCTAAGATTTATTTCTCGTGTCCTCTAAACTATGTTGCTATGTACAGTACATGCATAACATTTCCAATTTACAGTACATAAAAGATTTAATAATCCTCTTACAATGTCACATGACTTAACAGCCAAAGTGATTTCTCAAAATACTACAAATTATTGTATTTGTATAATTGGTTGAATCTAATTAATGTCACATAAGTAACAAGTCAAGAGAACAATCAATGACCAGATTTTTCTACTCATACGAATTCTTATAATCTAGAACACACAGAGTTATGTCAACATTTTTTAAATAACAAGAAAAAAGGTCTAGAAAATAAAATTCCAAAGCTAGTCCAAAGGCTTCTGATGGAATGATGCTTTGAGCTTTTTAATAGAGAGACACGTTCAATGGATAATTATTATAGTCTGCACTAAAATTAATATTTGTGTCTTTGCCAACAATCAAACTAACAGAACTGATATCTATGACATTGCTTTTTTCACCCAAATGGAAAAGCCATGATTCACAATTACAGCAAACAGTGTGTGTACTCCACAAGATGTTAAGACATATTTTTCAGAAGGTGGTGCACTCATATCATGAACTGCAGATCACATTTTGAAATTGTGGATGTTAGTCTTCATTTTTAAAAATCAATACTTCCTACTTTTCAAGCTCTGCATCATTACGATTGACAACTCTGCAGAGAGGAAATATTGTCTTCATTTGTTCTAGACTTTGAGAGAGGGATACAGCTAAAGCAAACAGTGTAACTAACAATCCATCAGTCCAAACCACATTACAGAGGTCTCGAATGGTAATTTGTAATATTTCCTTTGCGCTGCACATGCATAATTGCACACAACCAGCTGTGCATGGAGATGGAAGATACACTACATGCAATAATATGGTAACTTGAAATACATGGATGTATTGTACGTAAGTATAGACATGACAAGAGACTTACCAAATTTGTCAAATTTGGTAAAATTAGATTATTGAATAAGTACAGGTTGAAGGGGAAACGATGTTTAGCTCAGAAAGAAATTCATTACAGTGTTCGTCAGAGAAACGCAAAATGAGATCTGTCAAGACATGACCTGAAAATTGCATATCACATTATTTTCCCTTATGAGTTAATAATTTATTGCATAATGAAATTCAATATATAGGTTGGCCACAACTAGACAAATATCCCAAGCTTTTCTACATTAGTGATGCCAAAATTATGTTCCTTCTTAAATAAAATTGTTCATCACATTTAGCTACCAAAAGGTATTTCACATGCATACAAAGTGGATAGGAAACAATTGACAAGAGACTCCTGGAGCAACAGATACAGGTGCCTTGTATTCCCTGTTATTTCATCAAATTTACAAATCATTAAGAAAACAAATAACTGATCTATCTTATGACTCCAATCAAATTCAGGTAACCACAAAAATAGCACCGTGGTAACCATAGATAAACACTTAAAAAAGTTCTTTTTTGGGTCATAATGACTTTAAGTGTACGTTTCCAAAGCCAGGATAGTTCATAACATATTTTGCAAATCAGGAAATGAGAAGACAGTAAGGGAGAGGAAGGGATTCAAAAGTTAAGCTAGAGCAAAAGAATGAAATAAAAAAATAGCTTTAGCATCATTGTTATTGTTTAATGCCATTTTGAAGAAAGGCTGAACATTGTTGCCTGCAACAAAATCAAATAGTTGAGATAACAAAAGGATTACAAATCCAAATTTCAATAGGCTTAGATCTACACCCAATTACTATGACCCATGAGTTCTGATGTAATTTTAACAAGGAATAATTTCACTTTATAAAATGAGGTAAATGACTTATAGGAAAAGGTCTACAGGGGTCTCAGTTTCCCTTTAGGAACGAATAACTACACTTTCTTTGGCATTTATTTTATCCTACAGCACAGTAATGCCACACACCACAAATTCTTCATTTGCACTCCTGAGAAAAAAATGACTGAAGTTTACATGTGCATAAACTGCAAACAAGGGCAGCAAGCTGCACTTTATTTGAGCTTCAGAACAATATTCATTGTTTCTGAGATAGGAAACGAGCTGACCCTGAAAACCTTTACCCACCACACTAATTTGATGCTAATTTGTACACTGATAGGCCCCAGCAGCATTTCAATAGCAGCTGGCAAAACCACACCACACATCTTTCACACTTCTCTCATCTGCTCAATACCTAGAAGCCAAGAAAAAAATAATTCAAAGGCATATGGCTTCCATTGATGTCATCATGACAATAGGAAAGTATTAGTAAAATTCATTCGAACAGCTCTTAGACAAACTATGACATAAAATATTTGAATTAATTAAATATTGCAATTTCCCTATGAGGGAAATCATTTTTAAAAAACATTGAAGACAAAATGTTTACAAGATTACACTGCCTGCAATACATCAGGACTGATTTAGTAAAAATCATAGGGTAAACAAAATGTTTCAACAGAAGCTGCATACAATACAATTGCACTCAATAGCAATATAGAAAATATCATTAAAAGGACAGAATAACAAGCAGTATTTTTCTCTCGGGAGAGGAATGACCAGACCTGTCAATCTCTCAGGTACTTGACAAACTTTGCAATACAACCATAGCCATGTACCGTTACAGGTAAGTTACGAGCCCAGCAAATAATTCACTCCAATTGAGACTAAGAATAACCATGATAACTAAAGCAATATTTGATTGCATTTAGTCTTCAACAAAAATCCTTTAAAAGTTCCAAGTTTGGAAAAAAAATTATGAACTATTTTCATTAAGATCACCAAACACAAAACAGCACATTGTTGTTAAAAATGTGATGAAGTGAATGGGAACATTGGAATTTAATAGGAGCATCTTCTTAATCTGAATCTGCTTTCATTCCACGAACTGAACCGACATTCCGTTGCTGAAACCAAAAAAGTTGACAAGTTATCCAGACGATTATTTGAGACCCTTGACATCCATATGAATCATAACAGTACACACCTTGTCTAACTCTTCCTTGGTTTTCTCTTCAATAGCTCGAATATCTGCCATTGTCAAGCCATGCCAGCGGTCCATCCAGCAGAACAGTTGTCTAGAAAAGCATTTAACAGTGATTCAGAAGGTTTATAAACAGAACATGGCAGTAATTATGGAAATAAAAAGTATAGTAAAAGTTACCTATGAAATGTTGTAAAAAGTCTTCGCTCTGCCTTCTGAATGAAGTTTTCTATCCGGTTCTGGAGGCCAAACCACTTGAACTCAACTGTCACTAGCTTGTAACAAGTCATAACTGGATTAACCTGAAAGCAATTGCAGTAGTGAGAAAATTTTCTTCAGAATTAAAATACAACCAAGACAACTAAGTGTTGAAGTACCTTATCCGTCCATTTTTCGTCTGTGAGAGGACCTCGACCAGTTTTCTCTGATTTAAATATTTTAGGGTCTTCAGAGCTTTTGTAGTCTGCTGCAGCAATTGGGTCATTGGCAATATCTATTGGAATGACTTCCCTCTGTTTCAGCTTCTCAGGAGGCAGCTCATGAACCTGGGTAGAACATAGTCCGATGCAACTTCAATACAGAAGAATATATTTTTATTTAACACTTTTCATGCCAGTCTCTTTAAAGTTTCCCAACTCTTATGTGCCTGTTTTTTCCAAATATTAGTTCATATGAGAGACGTTTGAAACCTTATCCCAAGACTCATTCCGAATTTTTTTTAGCGACAGAAGATCAACATCAGCTTACGGTCTTGTGCACATGCTGCTGAACAGTTCATTTGTGCCAAAATAGAGACTCATGGCATAAAAAGTGTTAAATGTAAAAAAATTAATAATAAATATAGTTATACACACACACACAGAAAAATTATTAAAATAACATGGAAGGTGATCAAATAGGATTAAATTAGACATTAGTCATCATAGCAATATTCATTCAAATGGAAGCTTATTGAGTTTGAAGTGTAAAACGCTACTATCTAAAGGGTTAATTTAAAATAAGTGTTTTTTTTTTTTTACATGCTCTAAAATATGTGTATAGGTTTATGTAAATAAAATAGATAAATGGAACATAAATTTGAAAGACGAAATAAAAAGTAATTTGGCAAGCAAGAATTGAATAACTTACATTTTCTTGGTGTCCACTATCCCCTATATGGTATGACTCAATGACAATATAAAAGTTTTCCTTCATGTAGCCGGGATTCTGTGATGCCCAAACCGAAGTACCAGGATGCCAAAAAGCAGAACAAAGAAATGCATGAGAATCAGAACACAAACCAAGACACCACACACAAGATCCTGAAGCACCCAATATGTTCAGCATTAGGAACAAGGACACCAGTCACCAACGATCACCTGTGAGGAGAGGCAGAAGACGGACACACAATCTGAAAATCCACTGGACATCAGGACACAAGCACATGACCTACACCATAGAACGGAAGCACGAGCAATTCACCAGCGACTTTCTCCTAGGTCATCTCTGCAAGAGAACTCACATTGTTGGATTTGCCGGAATCGGGAACATGGAGTGTCTCCACAACCAGCATAAACTTTTCCTTCATATAATGAGGATTCTGCAATAAAATTTAGTTAACCCCCTTCATAAAATAATAAAAATGGATTTGAAATGTAGGAGTATAAAAATAATTCTTAACAAAAAGAAATCACAGCAGGAGTACACCATACAGATCAAAACTTACAAGGGATGATTAAAAATCACTAACAAATTTCAAGAACTTCAGAACATACCGTGATAACAGTTTTACAGTAGGGGTAGGCATTCCAGGCCTCTTCATGGATTTCTAGAGAGCCTTTTGGAGCTAGAATTCTGATGAATGCGGGTACTTTACTGCAACACACAAAAAAAAACAAACAAAGAAAATCAAGATGACTGTATTGTAGACATTATTTTATTTTAGTTTTGAAAAGTTGTGTGGATGTAAGTGGCAGCAAGTGTAATATCTGATATTCAGATTAGAAGAATAGTGTATATTTTTCAAATAGGAAATGTCAGCTGTGGCACGTATCCAAATTTTCCCATGATCGTCAAGCAATTTCCCCTGACTTTTCCATGACCAATCAACAGCGCCTAATTGATTTCCCTGTTTTGTTACATTTTTCAGGCTGGTAGTCATCCTGTCCCAGTACCCCTGGCGTGGCCGCCGCCGCGCCGCCCACGCGCCCCCCGCCCACCTAAAGCCTGTAGCTCACAGCATCCCCCTCAGTGATACTGACCTAGAAACCTACTCCCCCACCCCCCGCCACCCTTGGGAGCCGGGGGAAGGGGAATGGGGGGG